CCTTGGCCTATGCTCTTTAGCCTTTTCTCGGTACTTAGAGTTTGCCTCTGCATGCTCTACCTCCTCAGCCTGTTTCACGATCAAGCGCTCTCCCTCCATGAGAGTAAGGGATCAATGGCTTTCACGGAAGTCTCGCCTCTACGGTACCATAGTGCTGCCATGCCCTACTATTCGTCGCCTCGCATCTGCATCCCTTTTCTTTATGATCAGTAGATATGTTTATTCGGCACTCCTCCGAGTCCACCTTCATTCTAACTAATGCTTGATTTTGGGTAGCTAAGTCCCTCTGGACTCGTCGTCGCTTCCTCGCCCCTTTTGACCCATTGCTTCAACACCTTTGTGTTCTCCAAGCAGCTCCCTTTGGTCGATGGAAAGACAAACTGCAACTTCCATGCGTGGCCTCTGTCATCACGTTGTAGGGTTTGCACCGATTCTGTTCTTCTTAGCTTTCTTGGTAGCGACGTTCACTTACTCGACCTTGTTCTTTGACTTGCCGGGCTCCCTTAAGCGAATATAGGTTCTGGAGCAGTCCAACTCTTCAGCTGCTTTAATCATACCTCTGCATGATCAAGTCCCTCCCATGGGACTCACTAGTACTTGCATTCGAACTTTTCCCTCGGTAGAACACATCCCCCATATGCTGATAACCCATGCTTTCATCCGATGCAAAATTCAATACACGGACGGAAGACCCACCTCTGCAGTACCATGGCCTTCGCTCCTTAAATACATAGCCCTTCTTGTCGTCATGTTGTTCACCGAAGTGGAGCTTCCAATAGCTCCCGATCATACCTCCGTATGATATAGTCCCTCACGGGACTATATTCATGTGTATCGCATTGCCACTAACTGTTCCACTACGATCTGCTATACCATGTCGCCTCTTGGTGACATATCTATTGCATTCTGATCCTTATGGGATGAACTCGAATTGTGATCCCTCCATGTGTGGCCTCTACCAATACATTACATGGTCTCTTCCACCTTCGATTTTGTTCGTTCCTTTGGTGATCGACCTTTATCCACCCACTCTTGGGTCACACCTAGATGAAGCACCGCTCTAGGACAATCCGTCGCCTAGTAGCTCCCGAAGTCCACCGACTTCGCTGAAAATGGTGTGTCGTTGTCTGGATCCTGGGCCTCTACCCCTACTAGCACAATCTTCGTTGCACATCGCTTCCTTCATGGTAACTTGAATGGCAACACTATGGCATATTCTTCAAGAGTACTCGCCTCCGTGTCCTATTACCCCGTGTCAAGACATTCTGAACCCAACTTCGCCTCCGCAAGTTGAGTCGTCTTAGTTCCTCCCTCAAATGCTTCTCCGAGATAAGATGCATGTGCTCATAAGCTCCCTTCATCTTTGGCACCATGCAAGATGAGTTCGCTCCATCAGAATGAAGGACCCATGGAACAAAATGATCCTGCTATTGCCTCTGCAAGAGTTCATGTCCTTGACCTCTATCTATGGAAAGCTTTGTGCCTCTGCTCTATGTTCCATCTTCTATATCAGCTCCCTTCATGCAGCTTGGGTACTTCGCTAAGTTACACCCAAGTTGCTCTGCTCCTCGTTTTGTATTGAGTTGACAGTGGCCCTCACGCCCACCATTCCACGAGTCAGTCCTCCCTTGAGTCTGATCATCATATCGACTCTAAGTGTGCCTTCATTTGTGTTGCCTTGGGTCGCTCCCCCACTTGATCTCACAATGCATCAACCAATGCATTCTCTCAAGCGAGATCATGCGATGACTCCTCGCTGCTAGCTCGGTCCATTGAGCTTCGTGGAGTTGTTATTTTTGAGGTACTCCTCCTCAACATGTACGGTCTGTTGCACATGATTCTCTCTCTAGAGAATCGGGACCTATCCCTCCTGGATATATGTACCGTTGGAGCAATATTTCTCTTCGCTTCTTTCTCTCTGAACGTTTCGGAGACCATCATTCACTTGGACTACTCCGATTTACTGAACAAACTGTGCATTGTTCTGCCTTCTGCAAACATACTTGCTAGATTACGACTCCACGTCAATACAGCCTTTACCGCACCACTCAAGGCCTAGCAACATGTTGAACTCGCTCCACACTTCAGCCTCCTACGAACATATCCTTCCCATATCGAAGAGAAAGTTTCAATGCTCCATGGCGCCGAGTTTCGGTCGCCTTGGGATGGTCGTGAATATTCCATCGTCCACATACAAGCCCTTGCATGAGTATCAAATTCTTCGAGTTAGTAATTCCCCTCACCTCTGTGAGCTTTGCACAACTCTTTCGGTCGCTGAGCAACTCATTCCATCTTGCATGATTTCATCCTTTACTGAGCGCCTCACTTGCCTTAAGCACCATCAAGTGTAGTTGTCAACGTCGAGTCGTAGCTCGAACTCAGCCATCCCAACCTTTGTGCGCTACGTATTCTTCCAAGCTTGCTTGTTCTCGTGGTGTCTCTTACGCGAAGGGTTGGCGATTCCTCTGAATGTCAATCTCAAATGCCCGCTCCTCGGAGCGACTCCATTTCCCTATATCTCCATGCCTGTTTTCCCCCAAACGGTCGCGCATGTGCCGACTGCCCTCAATGCAGCCCCGCTAGGTCCCTCATATTTGCATGTCAAGTATTTCTATGAGTGCTTGTCCCGCTCTGGTACCATCTGTCATGGACTTAGCTGGTTTTGCCTAAGTCGTGCGGCACCTATGCATATCCGTCCGCAAAGGTCAGCCTCCCCGAAACCTTTCATGGTCCCTTAGAACCTACAAAAGAGAAAACATGTTAGAGAAAGCGCCTCATTCGAGATCCACAAGCAAACCTTTTAGGAAACACTTCATAGACAATGCAAATTACAAATATACTTTATAAACTTTGAACGGTTGCACAACAAAGGGTCAAAATGGTTCACTACAGACCGAATATCTCTCACAAGTGTCCACATAACACAATATTTATTTATTTTTAGGCTACCAAATCCAACTAAAATGGGGCTGTTAAGCCTTCGATCGTTCTTCTACATGCTATGTAAAGCATGAACAAATAGAAAGACACAAACATACATAAGTATTACATCAAATATTATATTTAGAACTTTGTCCGTGACAGTGAGTACGAAGATATTGGTTTGAACTTGACTAAATTTCTTTTGTCTTCTGCCCGAAAGGATTTATTTGTCACATTTTATACAACTCTATTCGGAGCTTATGCATAACAATTACCGTATTTTTTATTTCAAAAATTAAACTAAATGCTCTTTAACCCCACTGAGCCAATCGATAGCTTCCAAATATGTGGTAATATGTTTATTTATATATAACAAAAAGTTCACCATGCTCATCTAATTGTTAACCTCAGGTTCCAAGCTTTGATACTGTGCCCTTAACTCCACCTTTTGACAGCTCCAGGAAGAGACATCGCAACACACCATCACACTTCCTATTCGATCACATGAACTTGCTATCTGCGAAGAAGACAGTAAGGCATGCAGGGAAGCTACTACCTGTGGAGATGACACAGCACAGCAGCCAACATTTAATGGCTCGATTGGCTGTATGCAAAGTTCGGTTCTCGGAAGCCCCAAACCGCACCGAAATTAACGGGAAATAAGAGTGGGCAAGTCTTTCGAGTACGTAACAGCGATCACAACCGGACAAGAACCGAGTTTTCCGGGGAACTGTTGAAGACTATAAGTGCAATGATTGACTTGGAAGGAACGGATTGGTTTCTTTTAAGTTTATACCCCATCGAATAGAGGACTTTCTGGCCATCTCTCTTTTTTGTTTTCCTTTCGGGTTTAATCGAACACCAACTTGTCGATCATATATCGTTTATTGTTTTAACCTTTCATGAGTAAAAATAAATGCTATGATAATCATTATTTTTTATCGATCGACAATCAATACGTGCGGTTCGATCAATTTTATCGTTAAATCGATAATTATATTTTTTTATTAAGAATCAAAACTTGAGCTCTTAAACTATATATATATATATATATATATATATATATATATATATATATATATATATATATATATATATATATATATGTGTATTTCTCATCTATAATAAAAAAATAAAACCAACTTAACTATCAAAAAGTTATTGTCGGAAGCATCTAAAACGAAAGATATTGAAAATATAAGTATTTTTTTATCCTTAAATAGAACTTTATTCTCTTTCAAGTATGATAATACTTAAAAAATAAATCAAATTAAGTCGATTTTATGCTGTCTAAAATTTGGCCTTTTAAGTCTCTATTTTAGAAATACTGAATTCTCCAGTTTGCATCTCTGCCTTTTGAGTTAGAGAAGAAGTAATCCACCTTCTTCTACTATTAACAATGCTTAGGATCTGAGATGAGTAGATATTACTAAGGATTAGGGAGAATAAGTGTACTAATATAGGACTTGTGTAGAGAGAGAGAGAGAGAGAGAGAGAGAGAATGGGTGGAAGCCCACCCTTCTTCTTCCTTCCTTCCAAGTGAAACCAAATGGGGAATTGGCATACAGCCAACCTGCATGTGACTGGCCGCAGCAATCCCGAGGCTCTGCAAATAGAATAAGATGATGAAGATTAGCAGGTGAAAAAATAATGGAGAGATGCTGCTGGTTAGGTGACAGCAGCTTCACCATCTCAAAGTCCTGTAGTCCTCACATCCCACTAAACAAGTCCTCCTCCTTTTCTGCCCCTGCAGTCTACCATGGGGAAGAGGAGTCTGAGTGAAGCAACTGTGTTTCCCATTCTAACATCACCGAGCTCTGTGAAGTCACATCCTGTCTAACGGATGACTTGCTGTCTGCCATGGAAGACATCGAATTTACTTGGGAAGGAAACAAGGTTGATATAATTCAGAGCCTCAATGTGGTATCTGTATCCACATTGGGGAGAGAGAAATGTGCTGAGAACCAAAAGGAGATTTTTTTAGATGTCTGTCTCAACGATGAGTTAGTTGATGATGCTGAGGTCCACCCAACCCTGCAATGCTAATAATATGAAGGAGGATGATATCGCATAAACAATGAAGCAAAAGAATCTGACTTTTTTCCCTTCAAAACCTTCCCCTTCCCACCTTTTCTGCTTCTTCACAGCCCCTTCACATCCTTCCTCTTTAATGGCACAGAATCTGAGCTGATGCCCACAAGGATTTCCAGGGCCACAGCGAAGACAGTGGTTGCATTTGACGTCCATGGCTTGGCATCCATGGTGACACCGCCCCCTTCCTTCCTTACTTTCCTCCCCAAATAGCTCTGTCATACGTGACCTCACATTAAAGGTCAGCTCTGCAGCTCCTCCTTTCCTCCTGCTTTCCCTTCTGTCCTCCACCTCTCCTCAGCTATTTAAAATCATCTCTTTTCCTCTTCTTTACCCAACTTTACTGTCCCCTCCTTCCCTTTCCCTTCGCTTCCTCTGCCTTTCTCCTTCCTTGCTCATATCTTTTCTCGGTGCTCCCGAAAGCTCCCTCCTTTTGCTACTGTTCCACTTCTTTCTGTGAGTTCGGTGCCGTTTCTTGCTTTCGAGCGCTCAGCCTTGTCAAAGCTGAGTTTTTTCGCTACTAGCATTGCTTCTGGCGGTGAATTCTCGTCGAAGTCTCCAAAACCCCGGTGAATTCTGTGGTCTTTCTTGCTTTTTGGTGCTCTGATCTAGAAAAAGGAGAGCTTTTTTTCAAGGAGAAGCAAACCTCGCCGGAGATGTATCGCGGACCGCCGGATCAACTGCCGTCGTGCCTCCTCGACCTGAACTGGGAGCAGACGATGGAGTCGACCGGCCATTTTGAGGCGGCGCTGAGCTCCGTTGATGGCATGGCCGTTCACAAGCTCGTGGGAAGATTGCCGCACTCCCATCACGTTGGTGTTCGTCTCAATTCCCCTCCGAGACCTAATCTGTCCATGGCGGGCCATTTCCTCCAGCCCCAGCAGGCCATGGGAGGACTGCCACCGTCGGGAACCCCGATGCCCCTGACACATTTGGATCAGTTCTCGGCTGACCTAGGGAGGTTCTCCAGCTTTGGCGGCCGGAATTATGGCCATCTCGCTACTCAATTTGGGTTTCTGGATACCGAAAAGCTGTCGAGAACGGCAAGCAGCCAATCTCTGCAGACGAGTAGACTCCCGATTGGAAGGGAGATCCCGGCACAGAATAGATTGCAGTTGGACGTGAACAATGGCGAATCGATGAACGCGAGAGAGGAATCCTCTGTATCTGATCCGGCCAGCCGAGAAGTAAGCTTAGGAGCTCCTGCTTGGAGCAGCGAAAAGAAACGGAAAGCTCCTCCGAAGGGCAAAGCCAAGGAGGTTGGTCTAGCGAATTCCGCCATGGATCCTCCTAAGGTAAGCAAACACCCTCCGATCGAGCCAAATTAGCTCTTTTCTGAATGGTAAACCTGCAAACAAAGATTTAGACTGTAATGTTGCAGGTGGCAGAGGAAGATGCGAAGAGATGTCGTTCCAACGAGAAGAACGGAAATGAAGATGATGCACTCAAACCAAAGGTGGAGCAGAATGATGGAAGCAGCGGCAATGGCAATGGTGGCCAGAAACAGGGCAGGAATGCTGCTGCCAAGTCCCCAGAGCCACCCAAGGATTTCATCCATGTCAGGGCAAGAAGGGGCCAAGCGACAGATAGCCACAGCCTTGCCGAGAGGGTATGAAATAAATGGCTGCCACTCCGATACCGAAATGTCAAAAGCACCAGCTTTCGTTCGTCAATGCTTTCTTTCTGTCATCTGCCAGGTGAGAAGAGAGAAGATAAGCCAGAGGATGAAGCTACTGCAAGATCTGGTCCCAGGATGCAACAAGGTACCATCGGTAATGAGCTTGGAAGGTTCAGTTTCCGAGGACTTTGATCTGAGTTTGAGATGTGCAGGTAACCGGAAAGGCGGTCATGCTCGATGAGATCATCAACTATGTGCAGTCATTGCAGCGCCAAGTTGAGGTACGATCATCACGGACAAAGGTATCAGTTCGTATCTGAGTTGCATCTGAGACCTGTTGCTCTTGCAGTTTCTTTCCATGAAGCTGGCCACAGTGAATCCACACTTGGACATCGACAGTTTGGCAAATCTCCTTCCTAAAGATGTAAGATGGAGAATTTTTCTTCTCTAATCTGCTCTTTGCTGGTCAATTTACTACCCTTTGAGATCTAAAAAAGCATGTAACATTCAGATGCATCAGACTTGTGTTTACGCACCACCACCATGTGTTGACCATTCTCAACAGGGAGCCTCTCTCCACTGTGTCTTGCCTGATGGCATGGAGACCCAAAGCGCAGTGAACCTGCTGGATTCCACGTTCCATCAAGGTCTCAGCACACACCAGCCTTTCCTCGATGGATTCGAGAGTGCATCGTCCCAGGTGAACATTTGCACAGAATGTTGAGTGACATGGGTGTGTGGTGAAGTTTCCTTGGTGTACTGTTCTGACATGAGGTGGCTGCTGAACTTTCAGCTGGGGACATTCTGGGAGGATGACCTCCAAAACATAACTCACATGGACATAGGACAAAACTAGGAGACTGCCATCTTCTCTCAGAGCTTTGGTTGGTAAGGTTACAGCACAAGGCTACTCTGTTACTGTCAACTTCCATGGGTGATCTTGGAAAACACTGATTCATAACTATTTGATACAGGTCCCCGGTCGACAGCTCAGGGAAGCGTTAGCCGTGAATCATTCGAGTTGATTTGTACATATAGGGACACCGAGGGAGGATCATGCGAGAAGCTTTGAGCTAACAATGTCCAGATCTAAGAAGATTGCCATTTGTATTCCAATTCATTTTAGGCCGAGGATTCTTTGGAGGCTGGTCGGTTGCCGATTGTATGATCTTTTTTTTTACTTCTAGTGTTCCTGAAGATGCTTCGAACTTTGTCGTGATTGTAAGATAATGAGCACAACAACAGATTTGACATCATGATGCTGTTCTGCCAATTTCCATAACATTTCTTCTTACGCATGAAGAGTGTGGTAAAATGAAGAGCTGTTGTTGGTGCTGTGCTGGTGAATTGTTTTGCTGCATGATTGCTGAGAGAGGACCCATATGTCTTAGATAGATCAATTGATGATGGGACATAAATGTGTGCCATATTATTCCCTGCAATTTGCAGATACAAATGGATGAGAATTTTTGACACTACCTGTGAGGCTAAATCAGCACATCTTCTCAAGCAGGCCATCATCAAATGCAAAATTACTTGCCTTCCTATCAACAAATCTCTTGGGCACCAAATCAAACTGTCCTTCACTTGTGTCACAGCAATCTCAATCCTTTTACCAGGTCAGGAAAGCAGAGGCTGACACAATCCAATGCCCATTAGGTCCTTTTGGTCTTGGGGAACCACATTCCTTCTAACTTTACAGGCAAAACTGATGTGGAGGAACACAATGTGTGTCCAGATGCCGGTGGAAAAGAAGAGTATATCCCCAGCTCTGTGTGCCCCTCAGTGTAAGAGCATCTGTTCTGAGGATAGGCTGCTGTGACAAATCCAGTCAGGTTCTGACAGGAACAATTCCAGGTTTCTTTAGATGCACTCATAAGGAAGCTTTCGTTGTCTGAAGGCATCTAAAGAAGAGCAGACATGGAAGGTGTCATGTCATTCCTCTATGCTGCCCCTTGATTCTGGCCAGCCATGTCTTGCACCTTTTCCCAATTTCTATCCTGTTCTTTTCCTACTATTTGGAAGTGCAAGATCATCAGTAGCAAAAGATCAATTATGTCGAGGAAAAAAAGCTCACGTCCTCAACTGGATAGGTTCAGTCAGAACGAAAACACACACACTCTCTCTCTCTCTCTCTCCATGTCAAATCTTGAAACATAATTGGGACCACACTTTTTACTGGACATACATCAAGAATTCAGAGTGCTTGAGGATGCTGAATCAGATGGTCTAAAGAAAAGATGAACTGCTAGGAGAAAGGAATCGATCCACCATGTTGTCATGCTTTTCATCACTTGGCATCAACATTCTCCTTTTCTTCTTCCATGCTGCTTTACGTATTAGTCGAGTTCAAAAGGAAGAACAGAGGCTTCAACAAGAAATCATTAGTTTTAACTTCACTGCAACAGAATCCGGCAAGATCAAGATTGGCCATCACTCACATTCAATAGAAATCCTAAAGAACTGATATCAGACAGTGCCTTAACTTCTTCCATCAGAATTCATGGTCCATGATTGCCATGATATGAGTCCTCTTCTGTTGGGACACTGTGAAATGAGTGATGGGTGGGCTTTGCACATCATTAGCATTTTCTAGTTCAGCAGCAGACACAGGACACTGCCTCTTATCCACTTGAAGGCTTGTCTCCCCTTTTCTCATACAGAGCAGCAGGAAGGACCATGTTGGCATCATGGGTCGGCCACTCTTATCTGCAAGTGGATCCTACAGGCGAACTATTTACCTTCTCTCCTGCAGCCTTCTTCCCTTTTCATGCGTCTGATCCAAGAACCTGAACACTCAGATTTGTCAGACAACTGGCTTATGGCATCTTGGTTGGGTTTGGTGGCATTCTTTACACTTATCCTTACTAGCATTCATTTTAGGACTTGTTTGCTACTCAATCTGAGAAGTGGACTCCATCTTTTGAATGGCTCCATAAGGCTGGTCATGAATGAATTGGTTCATCCTGTGGAGTGCATGCTATCAACTGAAGTGAACAATGGTGTCTTAGCTACATAAGAAGGTTGATAGGCATAACTAATTAAACATTCAAGAAAGAAGAGAGGAAAATAAGAGAGAGAGAGAGAGAGAGATCAGTGATGACACTAAATAAAATAATCATGCCTGTAGGGGAGAAAATATCACATACAGGGAGAGAAGAATACACTTATCAACTATGAGAATCCAGTATGGACAAAATAAATTGAGTCTGCAAGAGACTGATCAAACATCTTTTCTTCTTCTTCTTTTTTTCCCCCTGTTTTCTTTGAATAAAAAGGTTTGCTTACCTTGCTACCAGTGAAGTTAATTGTGTTTTCTTATGTCTTTGCACCAAAACTAAGGTTGGGCATACTAATCTAGTTATTTTTGTTTTCATTAACCGAGATCGTCGTTCTAAGAACATACAGAATCAACCGGTCTCATGAAAAACATATGCTAAATCATGGTTTGTTTTCAGCTCAAATCCTACCTAGGGAAGGTGGCCACAAAAGGTGTAGATTAATCAGAGTTGTAAGCTGATCAAAGGACATAATCTAGGAAAGATGTCATCGACACTCGAGATTGAGACTAATACCCCATGTATTCTTAGACAAAGAAGAGAAATAGCATACATGATCTCCAAAACTGTGGTATCTAGAAAGCTTAGACATACTGGCAGAAATAAAACACGGATAAACTGAATCATATTACAGATGGTGAACAATGAAAACAGTGATTATTTTCTTCAACTCGAATGTTCTTTGTGTACTGCCAATGGTGCATTCTTGATGTTTGTTTACACTGCATGGTTCAGAGTAGAAAGCATTTCATGTTAAAGGTCCCAAGAAACTATGATATAGAACACTTGGGTACAGGCAGAAACTCGGACTCTATTCATTCGAAACACGATGGGACTTGCTTTGTAAAACACAACTCCCAAGAATTGAATTCTTGCAGTGCTTCTGTTCTCTCGACATTATCAGAATCGAAATACCACTGAACGTTATCGATTTGACGGATCCCCGATTCATGATCTCAGAACACTTCGGGTCGGATAACAACATGCTGCAACACAGTAAGCAAGAAAGCTACATTCCTCAGCCACAGGTCGAGACCATGTCCTCGAAGCTAAACCAGCAGGTTAAGCAAGAGGGAAGCATCACCTTGATCTGAGTCCTGTTGTAGGTGTAGGTGACATGAATGAGCTCATCCATGGCTTGGATCACCGCCGGGTACGAGAATTCCATCGAGCCCTCCTCCAGTGTCATCACTTCTTCCCAAGAATCACCATCATCCGCAGAAGATGCCACCTTAAGTGTTCCTCTTGAATCCGTGTTGTAGACCACCAGCAGCCGGCCGTCGTTCATCTTTACTCCATCGATGCCTATGATGATCACCTTAAATCATCAGCCGTGACCTCAAGAATCTACTTCGGTTCACAAGTATGAATCTTACGGACCTGAATTTGGATTGGGGAGTTGAGTTGGCTTCGCGGAGCTCCAGCTTCGACCACTGTCGAAGGACTCTGCAAGATAGATCCTCCCTAAAGCCGACCGCATCAGCACACGCAAGTTTCTGTTCTTGGTCGGGTATGGGAAAGGTTGAATCACGCTGACCGATTCGTCTTCGACGAATATAGGCCCGTACTTGTTCCATGAACGGCCGGAATCTTCGGTAACCTTCAGTAACCATCGAGTGACTGATCAAGCTCTAGATATGATGTATGAGCACGACATTTCCAGCTGCCTACCTCGATCCATGCTCCCCAGGAGTTCCAGCTCTCGACCGAGGATCCACAGACCAGGCGACCACCATCTAACAAGATGGGCTGCAGCACAGATTGCATGCATCAAGCATTACTGTCCTCGCTGATTTCCGGAAAGAAAGAGGTGACAAGGTTTCGAGGTGATGCATGCCTTGTTCTTGATGGGTCCAAGGATTCCAGGGGGAAGTTGCTCCCTTTCCTGCCAAGTAATGCCACCATCGAGTGATCGCTTCATGAAACCGCTCCAACTGCGTTGTGCAAGCAAATTGTAATTTGGCACCAACTTGCATTCACTCATCTAGCTTTCATTTCAAGAAAGGTATGGGTTGGGGACTTTTACTTCTGCACATCTGGTCCAATCCTATAGAAGAGAAGCAGCTCGTCGGATGGAAGCTTGAACAGAACAGGATTCCACATGGGAATGTCGGGTTCTTCATCGACTACAGATGGAGGACTCCAATGGCCATCCTACACACCGTATGTGCACTGACTGTAAATGATGATCTTAAAAGGAGACTTGCGCAATGAGGACGAAGACGATAGGTCAGCTGCATCTTACCTTGTATCTCTGCAACCAGATCTTGACGTCAGGGGCACCCTCAATCGAACCTCCAAAGTAGCCTACCAAGAAATGATCTTTCTCGATCTACACACATAAAACGCTGAAATGATCTTCAAGGAAACTCTTCCCGTGAAGCATAGAAAGGAAAGCTGCAGGCGGAAAGGGATTGCCTCGACGATGGTAGAAGCATGACAGTTGTTGAAAGGAGCAGAATTCATGGTGAAGGTGAACTCCTCCTTCAATAGCTCCCATCTGCCGCCGATCCTGTCGCCTCCTTGCATGCTGTCATTGGAGCTCTCCATCGCTCTCGGAGAAGGAACTTGCTTTCTGTACCGTCCATCGCACTAGCAGGTCAAACATTCATGACGGAGTCGTGATGAGACGAAAAGGAAGGTCACCTGTAAGAGTTAAATCGGTCGTCGTCGATGTTGACGCCGGAGGACGGTGTCGAGATGCCGTATGCAAGGAGGAGGAGCGAGAGCACTGCGATGCTGGAGACCACCATCCACGAGAAACCCTTGGAGATCATCCAGACGCGCCTCGCGCAGCTCCCACACCGGTCATCTGCGTCACAATACGCCGATCAAAATGCTGAATGTGACATGAAACCTGGCCGGAGGTCTCAATCATCCATCGACGGCAGCTGAATTGGAGGTGATCAAGTAGCAGACCGCATTCTGCTCAAGATCTCTTCTCGTGCTTCAGCTGACACACTCTGAGCTGTGAGCAATAGAAGAAGACGGTCAGTAGACTGTGATGCAACCTTGGAACTTTAAATCATCGGTTGGTGGTAAAGCAAGAGCCTCGTAGGCCATTTTTATATGATGAGATCTAGATTCGATTAGCCATCGCTGGTGCTTGAATCATAATCTAAGTCTCCAACTTTGGTCCAACGAGTACAGAAAAAGCAGCAAAAGATGCCCGGCAGCCACGGGAGTGTCAGGATTGTAATTTGTGATAAGTTTTGATCCATAA